GTGAAAACGAATTCGTTTGTTAAAATTATGAACATGTAAGGGCTACTTTAAACAAACAGAACTTTGTTATTCCTCGCTCATTTTTCCTGATTGAGGTGTCATATGAAACGGCAGAAACTCAACTTTCTAGAAATGTGAATTTTTCTTCGAAATTCAGATACCGCCCGCCAAATGTCTTTTTGGTTTCCTTCCTTCAAATTGCTTTTAATCACTCATGCGTGAAATATGCATCATCGGAGTAGCATCAACTAAAAGAGGAGACTCTAAGCTTTCCAAATATGTATCATTCATTCATTATGGTTGTGATTAAGTTATGATAAAACATCGATACTTCTCGGTTTCGCTTTTTCTGGGACGCACTGTATTGTGTGTTATTGTTGCCATGGTTGCAGGTCGGGGCAGGCACAATTGTATTCTAGGCAATACTAATCCTTTTCTTTTTTCAGGGGGACGAGCAAGTGAAAACATTTAATACAAAATAGGCTAGCAAGCAGTTCGCGCCAGCGAAGAGTTTCGAATTTGTTATATCACTTATATTTTCCTATTTTCATTTGTTTTAATTTTTCAGGGCCGTATGCGGAATATTTTTCTGGTGGGGGAGGGGGAAAGATGCGTTAAAAGTTTTCGAAGAATCTCAAAAGCAAAAGGAGTGAAGGGAGTTCGAGCGACCGAACTGGTCAAGAGGGTACTTTTGCATTTTCAAAAGTAGAATTGAAGGATTTGGTATAGGCCTACACTACATTTTCAGGAAAAAAACTGTACGTTTTCAAAATATCTGGGGTCAACTGCCCCCCCCCCTGGTGCGTACGACCATGGTCTTTTTTAAAAAAAATTCCCCATTTTTATTCGTTTCCTTTTCTTTTCCCTTTTTCTTTCTTTTCTCTTCTTCTTCCTTTTTTCTTTCCTTTTTTTCCCTTTTTCTCTTTCTTTCCTTTTTTCTTCCCTTTTCCTTTTTTCTTTTTCTTTCCTTTCCTTTCTTTTCTTTTCTTTCCCCTTTTTCTTTTTCCCCCCCTGGAGCCCGTCAGGGGGGGGGGGCACTCTGCCCCCTGCCCCCCAGAGGTACGCCAGTGGGCAACAGTTTGAGAAAGTGGGAAGGGTCATACAATATTAAATTCCCATTGGTCAACAGGTCCACTTTCTTTCATGTTCCCCCCGAACTTGAATTCAGGGAAATCCTACCAGTCCTACAGTATAGCCCGAAACATGACTCATAACTTTGATGGATTAGGCCATTTGACCAGTCTGTATTCCTGGCCGAAACCAAAACAATAATAAAATGGTCAAGGGTGTATTCCTCTTTTGTTATGTACATAACAAAAGAGGAATACAGCCATATAATGATACTGAGAATCATGACGCCTACTACTTTGAAAACATTGAGAATGGCTGTGTAGAAAGACATATTGCCCCCAGGGGTAACATAAACTCACCCTTGACCATACGAAATTTGAAAGGAAATGGACATGAGAAAAGCACCTAACTAGGAATAACAAGCACTACGTGCAAAACGAATGCGATTTTCTGACGAAGATAAGAAGAATATTTATGGGGCAGAATGTGAACGAAAACAAGGCAATGACGAAGGTCGTCATTGCAATAACATGCAGCCTTTTCACACACAGCTAAAATTCATCGTATCTAGAGATGATTAGTATAAACGTGTTTAACTCAACAGTTTTAAACATGTTTATAGAAAATTTTCCCTGTGTGAACATCGTTTATACGATGTTGGGATAGATAATAATTTTACCCCCCCCCACCCTGAAAATGATCTCCCCCTAAAAATTACCCAACTTATTATCGGGGTTGACTTCCCCTTTAATGAACAGGGGGTATTGTTCTTGGTTGTCCGGGGGGGGGGGGGGGTCAATGTCCTATACAGGGGTTAAGTTTCAGAGATGGGGGTAATCGTCATCGGGGGTAATTTTCTGGGCGTAGTTTGAGTCGTCGAGGGGTAATTGTCATTTGGGTAATTATCCTTGGGAGTAGTTTTCTGGGGTGTAATTGTCCTTATTATGATAGGCGAATAAGGTGGGAGGCCGGGATTGAAGCCCCCCCCCCCCTCCCCCGAAGAATGTTGCAATGATGTTTGGCCGTTCGTTCGAGCAACCGACAATTTCGGGTAACGATGTGGTCTATTGATTTGTAATTTAATGTAGGCCTACTAGTCATGAAGTTAAATTTTGTGACAAAATTAGATATGATTGATATTAAGAAATGCTTGAAGTTCGGTTCTCCGACAGTGATCCCAATGACAAAAAATAGGTCCGGCTTTTAAAAAAGTTGCCAGGGTTGGTATAGATTTGCAAAAAGTTTGTATTCATGTTGTGTCGCCTTTTAATCCAGCGTCGTGGCTTTGTAGCGAAAAGAGTGCTTGTTTATAATACGATACAGGATGTTTCTTCGATTACACCCCTCCTTTTCCCCATTTTTCTTTTAGTCTCCCTCTTCAATTTTATATCCTTCTTTCTTAATACTTCTATGCTTTAGGCTATAATTATTTTTCAATTTTTTTTCAATTGTTTGTGTGTTATCTAATTTTACCAACATGACCAACATGAATCATGACATTTTCGCTGCCATAAATTTCCCTCAGTTGACTGTGAATAAAATAAATATAGGGGTAGAAACTAAAATCCCAGTCTGTTGTTTCATGTGAAATAAACCTATATGAATGGCTATCGAAAGAGTAGTATAAATAATACATTAAGGGCATACGCCTGTCAGGCCTTTCAAATTGCTAAGGTGATTCTTACGTTGTTAGTTTTGCGAAAGTTTTATGGCGAATAAAAGGTGAACATTTTTCATCTCTATCCATAACATAAATATCTCTCGGCAATAAAATGAATGAATATTGAATAAATAAATAGATGAATGGATGAATTTAACATGTAGCATTATGTAGAAAATGTGGGGGGGGGGGGTGGGGGCAGTGGCGGATCCCGGGGGGCCCGGGCCCCCTCCCCCCCTTGAGAAAAAAATCATGTAAAATCACGTGATTTTTACCCTTTTTGGGGGTTGGGCCCCCCCCCCCCCTGGCGCTCAAGGGGGGGGGGGGGGGGTGCAAATTGAAATTTTTTTGAGGATCAAAAAAAAAAATGTGCTCACTACCCCCCCCCCCCCCCCCCCATGGAAGTGAATCGACGACTTCGTTTTCAAGATCATTTCGGAAAGTTTTATCTTTCAAGTTGAACTATTATTATTGAATGCATAAAATACTGCATAATTTAGAACAACTAGAAAACAAAAAACACAACAACTTGAAGTCTTGAACAAATAATCAAACAGGAAACCACATTTGCGTCACATAGGCCTACCCTAAAATTGTAATGATGATGATTAAGACGATGTCGGCGATGATGATAATTCCTATGACGAAAATGCTATGCTTTTCCAACCAATATCCTAAAAATATACGCTAATTTATTTTTTAATCAAGATTTGAGAGATGTCGAGAATAATTTGCAGTTTAAGAAAAAAATTAAAAAATGAAGTGCCATTACTCTCTTACCAAAGTGTTTACTTTAATAGTGGTAGTTTTTTTTTTGACAAAATGTTGTTATTGTGGATTTTTTTTTCTTCCCCTCTCTCGATTAGCGATAGAACACTGAAGATTTGACTGAACACATTATTAAAACATCATAGACTCTAGCTGTGGACCAAGGTGATGAAGCTGTTTTAATACTTTTAGACTATTCTGCGGCTTTCGATACTATCAGTCATGATGTTTTTCTTGATCGCTTACGTAATAGATATGGTGTATCAGGTACTGCCTTGAATTGGTTTAAAACCTACTTTATGAATCGTTCACAATCTATTGTCATTAATGACTCATTATCCAAACCTCATGTTCCACTTGAAGGTGTTCCTCAGGGATCCGTCATCGGCCCTTTATCATTTACTCTGTACACTGCACCACTTGAAGATATCATTGAAGCGCATGGTTTAGGCCGAATGATATATGCAGATGACACCCAAGTTTATGTTGTTTTGAAACGTGATTCCGACCATTCTGTTATTACTAAACTTGAAAGATGTATAAATGATATCAAAGCTTGGTCCACTGCTAATGATTTGAAGTTAAATGAGGATAAAACCGAGGTTATACATGTAACATCTCGATTCAGAAAGTCCTCCCATTTACCATCTGTCGAAATTGCTAATGTTCCGATACAACCTGTCAAAAGTGCACGTAACCTTGGTGTCATCTTTGAAAATGATCTTAGGATGGATGATTATATAAAAAATATTTGTCGCTCAGCTTCATATGCCTTGTACAAGATAGGTCATATTAGAAATTTTCTTGATAAAAAATCTACCGAAACGCTTATACATGCATTTATTACATGCCGTCTTGATCAATGCAACAGCCTTCTTTATGGCCTTCCGGAGTCGCACATTGCAAAACTCCAGAGAATCCAAAACTCTGCTGCCAGGCTTGTAACACGCACACGTTCTTGTGAACACATCACCCCAGTACTTCGCGAATTGCATTGGTTGCCGGTGACGTACCGCATTATGTACAAAATCTTAGTTTTAACTTATAAATGCATTCATGAATTGGCACCAATTTATCTGCAAGAATTAATCGAGGAATACAAACCCTCACGCAATTTACGGTCATCTTCACAATTAAACCTCGTATCTACTTCTGTGTCAACTCTCTCTTATGGTAATCGCTCCTTTCGCAAAGCTTCTGCTGAACTTTGGAACAAATTACCTTTAAATGTAAAAAACTGTCAAACCGTTAACCTATTCAAAATTAGTCTCAAGACACATTTATTCAAAATTGCGTTCGATGATTAATTATCTCTGTTCACTTTGATGTGTATTCCATATGTATTGTTATTTGTAGGTTTATTTGCATTTTTAGTTTTGTATAAGATGTAATTGTATATCAGTCTATTTTGTGTGTATAGCGCTTAGAGACTTCGGTGGTAAGCGCTTTATAAGTAACGTTTTTATTATTATTATTATTAGACAAGTCGCAGGATTTTCCAAAGGCAGTACAAAATTGTTTTTCCAGATCAGAAACTGATAAATAACAGTGCACTTGCATTAGGCCTACAGAGGCAAGAGAAGAAATAAAGAAAGAAATATCAATTATCAAAATAACATGTAGATCGAATTCTACTGGGAAGCAATTTGATTTGGCCTAACGTGTACCCGAGATGTTTCCTTTTTCTATACTTTTGATGCGCGCCCACCATCGGGCGGAATTAGGGCGGGTCTAGGCGGAATTAGGCAAGGAAAATGCCTCACGCAGACGGCGCGCTACGGACAATCGCTTATGATTTCGGGCGTAAGAATGGCAACGCTAGATTTGCTAGAATTTCGGCAACAAATTGGTATACATTAGCGCCTGTATAATTCATTTTCGGAGAAGTTATCTGAGAAAAACTGCCCATCGGGCGGAAACCGGGCAGGGTACGGTACGCTGGAACAGTGCATAATATTTTTCCTTTTTTATTTGTTTGTTCAATATCTGCGTTTCGGGAGATAACAGTTTTAACGAACTCTATCAACAAATTGCACAATTCTACATCGTCTGAGCCTTTGAGGTGAAATATGGTTCATTTTTAACATTTGTCATGAATTTTACTCCGACTTCATTTCCCTAAAGTGAATAAATTAACCTTCTACATTAAATTTCTACTTAATCTTTTGTGGCGAAGTTGGGGCAGCCAGACAGAAAAATGGTCAATGCGTCACACGCTCTTGCCGGAGCGGCTCGGGCTAGATCTAGTCCTTGCATGCCGCGCAGGCTGAGCTGAGCCGTGTTAATAATGTTGAGAACGTTTGGCGGTCCCGCATCAGTTTAGATTTGTGACTTGTGACAAGATCAAGAGTAGATTCCCCTTTGTTCTCGTTGTTCAGTATCAGTGGAAGTGGTGTGTGTGGTTGTATATGTAGTCTTAAAAATGTTACTGCCAAAAAGATTATAGGCCTAGACCCTACATAGACTACATGTATAATTGTGTATGTGTGATGAGATGTTTTGATTCTGACGGTGTCTCGACTGTTTACATTTTTATATTCGACATCGCCTAGACTAGAAAAGTCTAACAAGAAACATTTTTTGTATCAACTATCAATTTAAGAGTGTGATATTCAGATTTCAGGGTCATGCCATGACTCATGCTAGTCAATCCTTCTGACCAGCAGACTGCATCCTTCTCTCTATCCCCTCTCCACTTTCATAAAGCTGTTGAATGTTGTATGAAATGTCTATGTATTATCTGATTGTTATACTCATTGTATGTTTTCCGATTGGTCAAATAAATAATAATAATAATAATAATAAAAAAATTATTCAGATCGATTAATACCAACATTTTAGATGACAAGTGAAATGGTTGCAACTAGAAAATTTATAGCAAAAGAATTGTGGAGAGATATCTGATATCTCAGAATTCATGGTCGGATCATAACTTGCTGCAATTGACAAAAAAAGTCATAAAAACAATAAGTGCAAACTGTGAGTATGAGAGTTTAAAGAAAAGGTAAGAATGATTCCACAGCAGTATCAACTTTTACATACAAATTTGAAGGCACTTTTTTTCTCTCAAAAAAAATATTTTCAGACCATTGGGCTTCGTCTTTAATTTAAAGTAAAAAAACAATAAACTTTGCTGATATTTCTTTTTAACGGCATTTTCATAAAAAACAACCCAATTTCAATTTTTTTTCTTCATATTTTGGTAATTTGAAGTTACTCCTACAATAATGGTGGTTGTTGAGATTTTGACCTCGACGTACATGTATGTTTGAATTTGGGTCATGCACAACATATATTTCTCACTGTCCCCATATTTTATTGTTCAATTTGGGTGGCTGTCGATTTCCCAGACTGATTCTAAGATTTATTAAAATTTTGTTTTAGTAATCGACAAGGCTAAATATATATTTTGCCGGAGTCAAATCATGATCAGTTCTTTTAACCATATTATGAAGGCGTGTTTGGAAAAAAAAAAATTCTACTTACCAGTAATATTCAACTAATTTGTGGCATGGAACTGGAAAAGCAAAGTTGTTACCACTCACAAAATTGTATAATTCTTGTGAAGTTGTGGTTGTACATATTTTCACCATTTTGTATTTTTATAACATATAAGTACAGGGTTGTGGAGATGAATCATGAATGCAATTATTGTCATTTCATATTACAGATCTTCAATGGCGACCTTTCAGTCGGCAGGTCAAGCCGAGATTATCAGAAGCAGTCAAAAGGATGAAGCGTACCAAACTCAGCTTAGAGGCAGTATCCATGATGTCGTCCAGTCATTAATAGGTATGTCACCTCTTTCACTTTCATCAGTAGAGACATTTTTCTACATGTATACTCTTGACTTCTGTTGTCTGTCTGAATGAGCTAAGCTTTATCAGTTTGATGCGAAAAAGGAGATACAACCAGGGGGGTGTTTCACAAGACTCAGATCGACTTAAGTTGGACTTGAACTATGGCAGGCAGTTCATGGCATTAGTTCCTCTAACCATTTGTGGCATTGGTCTCTCAAAGGACGTACAATCTGCAGAATTCACATATTTTGATAGTTCATTATTGAAGGGAAAAATATTATCTAATGATAATAATTTCTAAGGTTTTCCCCCTCTAATTTTACATCTGGTTCAAGACTTTTTGGGGGCATAAATCGCATACCTAATATGAATCCAAGTCTTAAATGTAACTTAAGTTTACAATGTAAGTAACTTTTTTTCTTCAACAGTGAACTATCAAAAAAGTAAATTCTGTAGATACATGTGCGACATCCCTTGTGATACCAACGGTGAGAGCAACCAGTGGCGTGAATGGCCTGCTTTAGTTCGAGTCCAACTTAATTCGATCTTAGTCTTTGTGAACCCCCCCCCCTGCAGGTCTGATAGTTGACTGTACAAGGAACCTTAATATCTCCTTCATGATTAAAACCAACTTCTCCGTGTAAACACAATGTGCTCCAATGAGCAGTAGGCAGGCTTGAATGGGAAATCAATTACCTTAAAGCACCAAGTATGGGTAAAATGAAATGAATTTTTCCATCATTGTACTATTTTTAATTTCTTGTGTTCCTGTGAGATGCTGGGGATGACCATAAGAGCAATAAGACCATAAGAGCAATAAGTAACTAGAATCATCTGCCAGGATCAGCAGTCAATGCAACATGAATAACCAACTTCAAGGAGGCTGCTCTACCCTCCATCAGAATGATGCAGCCCCCCTGTTGGTTCCCACATCATATAAGCTTACTAGCTTGGTTTTTACTTGCACTGGACTCAGCATATTTTACTGTAAATTAACGAGTGCTTTCTCCACACCATTCCAGCAATTCATGACACTCCTTGTAGTTACTCACCTCACCTTCCATCCCAGTATAGCTTCCTGAGTGAGCTGCCAAAGGGATTACCCAACCAAGTACCAAGTACCATTTCAACAATGTAGAATTGTGGCCTTGTTATAATAATCACATAGCATGCCAAAGGGAAGGAAGTCTGAAGCAAATGTGCAGGGCTTATCAACCGCCCCCCCCCCTTTCCATTTTTTAAAACCAGACTTTAGATTATCAAGATTGTTACTAGTTTACTACAGAGAAAACCAAGAGAGAAAACGATAGATAAATTTTATTTATTTCCAGTCTTTCTCTACTGTCTACATTTAGGTACAAGATTTTGGGCCAGATGGAGAAAGGAACTTGATGTAGTGTCAGATGTCTTGTACTTCGGTCTAACAACAATTGCAGGTATGTACTTACTTTTCATAGGGGATTATTGAACAAAAATGTTCAGTATACGAACGTGATCTGCAGGATGTCACGTTTATCAACATGCCAATTTGCCTGAAACACGTTTGAAAATGCTAATTATAGGCTAGAAAAGAGTTGATAAATGCACCCTATGTTGAGTAAGATAATCAGCTAATGTTTGTTGAAAACACTTCTACTTTAATATAACCCATATGAATTGGTGAATCTCCACAGGTTTCCAGACCCTTGGTGAAGAGTATGTCAACATACTTCAAGTTGATGGAACAAAGAGAGCAGTTCCATCGTTACAGGTATGGCATGAAAACTAACTTTCTCTTTTTCCCTTTGAGTCTGCACTCTCTCTCTCTTTTCTCTCACATTTCTCTCATATTATATGCCAACTCTACCGTTTTGACAGTATATTGCAACTTTTCTTCGAATTTAATCATTTGCTGAGTCCTACTACTGACTTAGAAATCTTTGTCCTATTAAAAAGATTGAATTCATTCATTACAACAAATTTGACACCATTTAATTTGTTACCTGAATTGATACCAATCCCCACCCAGGACTGTATTATTATTGTTTTCCTCTTTTTCTTCACTTTGTCTTCTTCTGTTTCTTTTCCTTCTCCTCCTTCTCCTCCTTCTCCTCCTTCTCCTCCTTCTCTTCCTCTTTTCTCTTCTTCTTCCTCCTCTCCTCCTCTTCTCCCTCTTACTCTACCTCCTCCTCATCATTTTATCATCATATTTACGATGATCTCTTCCTGCAGAGACGCATTGCTCTAGTAGCGCTCCACATCGGTGCCCCCTACCTCCTGGACAAGACGCTCTCCCGTCTCTCGTTTCACCTAGAGGCTGGCTACAGGTTGTCTAATCTCTCCGAGGAGGCTAACAACAGGCTCCGCCTCTGGCTGCCCTCCGTCAGACGAGCGTTGACCTTTGTGAACCGTGTCCACATGGCTGCTTTCTACCTGCGTGGCCTCTTCTATCATATCGCAAAGAGATTTTCTGGAGTCAATTATGTAAGTTTTCTTCGCTATCCTAAGCACACTGAAGGGAGCTTTAAAAAAAAAAAATCTCTAAAACTGAAGGAAAAAATATAAATGATTTTCTAGAACCCTATCATTGCCTTTCCAAGGTATTTCATTTCAAAAAGTTTTCAAAAAGAAAATGAGCGAAGAGATCACTTATCATTGCTTAACTTTGATTGGTTTAAAGGCCGGCTGTACTAGTTCAGCCAGAAGGGGTTAGACAACCAAGCTAGCCAGCGAGGTCACTGTGACAGGTGGCTATCTCATTAACTCAGCTCTCAATTAACATAAGAAAAAGAGGATCATGGGGGACCAGCAGGCACCGATTGGGGAAGTTTTCTATATAGAGGGAGCAAGTAGGTACAAGTAGTACAGTGTGGCTTTAAATCCTTACTTTGGAGCCTTCTTATGTCCAAAGACACATTTTTCCCCTTTTCTTATTTTTGTCTCTCTCAACCCATGTGTAGAAAAATCAGTAGCAAAGAAATTTCTTTATTTATTCTACTTCAACAGATTTTTCTAATCAAATGCCACTTTATAAAAGCCTACTGCTGTTAAGATGCAAATTTTCCTTTCATGTTCTATCCCCATCCCTTAGATCCAAGTCAGAAGGACAGCAGTATCTCAGGCCCTGCAGAAAAGCTTTCACATTCTGGGCTGGTTATCAGGTATTCAGCTTAGTGTCAGTCTACTATGGCATGCCCTACAACTCAGAAAAATGGTGATTTACCAGTCTTCTGAAGCAACTGAGGAGAAGGAGAGGTAAAACATTTTTTTGAGAATGCCAAAAGCTTGTTCATATTGCCCATGAAGTTGTCTTTCTTTAGTTCACTGCATGATTATTTGGGCTATTTTTATGCCCCCGCAAAGAAGGAGCCAGAGGGATTATGTTTTTTGGGTTGTCCGTCCGTCCGTACGTTCCATTCTCGTGATCGCATTATCATTAGAACAAATTGACAGATTACCAAACTCAAGACATGTATGTATCTTGCTGAGCCAATGAACTTAGGGTCATGAGGTCAATGATCAAAGGGTCATACATGTATATGAAAAATAGCTTTTACTGTAATCATGATATTCTGAGAACCTGTTGATGGATTACAACCAAACTTGAATTTTAAAAATTGCTTCTGTTTTGGTTTGTAAAATTGCTCTATGGCGGAGGCATCATTTTCGACCGCGCGCAGTCAAAGATCCATCTAGTTCCTAATGACTTTTAAACAAAACTTGCATTGAATGCTATTAAAAAGCAAATTCAAGTAGGTAAGCTCCAGGGCTTTTATATATGGTTTCAAGAACTGTCTGAAGGATCTAATTTTAAATTGATGATGAGTTTCTAACTTGAGGGCACTAGCACATTGACTGTTCTGAAGCCTTGAATTATTACATGTATCTGTATCTGTATCTCAAGCTTACACCTATTTAAGACGATTCAGTTTCTTGGCCTGACCAATAACCTTGCTCTATCCAAATCCATTAAAAACATATTGCTGGCTGTACTTGCAGAAGTGTAACCCTCGATACTCAAGTTGTGGACCCCAGATGGCGCTGTTCACTTTGCCTGGAACGACGTCAGCACACGACTTGCCCTCCATGTGGCCATCTTTATTGCTGGGGGTGTATCATGGAATGGTGCAGGACAAAGGTGAGCCGGTCATGATATTTCCTTGCCTGTTGTTGTTGTTGTTTTAATTTTAACGGCTTGTATCATTTATTCAGTTGTGACTATTTACACCAAAATTAAGGACAAGAAAAAAAATCTCTACGCTGCATACTCTTTACGCAATTTGGGGAGATTTGTTGAGATTCTTGACAGGCTGTCAGCACAATCCATTTGGGGATGTTTTAAGACTCTTCACGATCAAAGATGCCTTTAAGATTGTAGGAAGAGGGGTTGGGCACTTTCAGTAGTACCTGGAATGAATTCCTCCTTACCTGATAACTAATGGAGAAAAAAAGTCCACAAAACCTGCCAATTTCATACTTTTGATGATTTAACTTTTGATGATTTATAACTTTTTTAGAGCAATTTTTAAATAATTTGATTTATTTATACGTTTAAAAAAAAAATAATTTAAGTTTGTATTATTAATTATTATTATTATTATAATTTATTTGAATATTCTTTGTTGGGGGGGGGGGGGGCGGAGAGCATCCAGCTTAACAAGTGTTTAGTACAAACAGACCTGCCCCCTCCCCCAAAAGAATCCAAATGTAAACAGGGCTGGTGATCCTAGAACCCCCAATATTTTGATCTGGACCCCAGGAAAAAAGTAAGTTTGGAACTCTGGCTAAAGTCTGGGTTGTTTTTTCCATAGCTCTTATAAAATGTATTTATATAGTGTCTATTATATCAAAATAGTTTGTTTCTTCTAAATTATTGCTGATTATGTTTTGCAGAAAATTAATTATCGTTTTTACATTTTATCCATTTCCAGCCGGAGTGCCCAATATGCAGAGACGGCTTCCAGGCTTCAAGGCTAGTCCGTTTGCAAAACTACGACAGGAGATGACGACAGGAGACTGGAGGAGTCACGCCAATATAACCATCCAGTATTCCATACTCGGTGCCAAGTAATCAGGTCTTGTTACGGAGGGCAGACTATTTGGGCTAAATTATTTGGCTCCTACGCCCAAATTTAATAGCACAAATGCTGCAGTGTAAGATTTAAGATTTTGAGACCAAAGTAAGATATATATTGTATTGAGTTAATGGAAGAATATTTCGGACAAACTTGTCATTTGTCTAAGTTTTGTTGATTTTCATGAAAACGCATTTCAAATGTATGTATGAAGTCAAGTTTTATCTGCTTTAGTCTTTATATCATTGAGACATATTTCTTGCCAACCTTAAACTAAGGATTTTGGTATTTTGTCAACACCAAAGAAACATCTTTCCTTGTATGAATCATTCCTAATATTACATAAAGATAAATCATATTCATGAAAATAAATGTAGCCCTCTATGCATACTCACTGATTGTCAGTATGCAGATCAGAGTACAGAATATTCAGAGACATTTTTCTAGAAATATTTTATATATAGGATTTATTGAAATCAAATCAAATCACACAAAAAAATCCAAGAACAAACAGTCTGAAGACTGACACCTGTCTTGGGTACAATATAACATCAAGTATACATAATAAAATGGCAGTAACGAATAAATAAATAGGTTACAGAAGTTAAAATATCAAACAACTATCATCACTGAATATTGCAAAAAGGACATATAAACAATAACAAGAATAAGTATACATTACCAGTACAACATTTGTCTTGGAAGTCAAATGGGACCATCTCCTTAATTGAATTGTGCATTAATCTGTGTAAATCTATACGTAATTACTAGAAAAGTGGAGTATTTTGAAAAGAGAAAGCAAACTCAATTCCAACATTACCAGAGTGTAACAAACATGTTTTATGGATGGATCTGAGCCAGCCTTTAAAAAAAAAGATATATTGTTTTGGTTTGGTTTGGTTATATTTTCCGTATAAAAATTCAAATATATACAAGAGTACAATTTACAGATATAGTACATATCGAGAATTAAAAAACTACTGGAATGCTCTATTCTGGGCCATTATCAAAATGGCTCTGTTTTTCCTAGAGGTCCAGAAATAGATATTTAAACATAGAAATAAAACACAAAATATTGTAAAGCATTTTTTTCCAATATTGACCTTGACTTCGAAGGTTTTGTGTATTCTAGGAAAAAATCATTTTCCATAGGATTTTCCGAGGATCACTTGAGAAAGGTCACATGACTTAAGAACAGTATATCTGTTAGTCGCAAAATTGGTCTCGAAAGTTGCGCAAGACTTCAATGAAAAATGAAGTGGAGCATCAATATCTGTGTGCGTTGCAGAATGAACGCGCGAAAAGTCGAGGGGGGATTGACCCTCCTCCCAGTTAAGATGGGGTTAATGGATGATCAAGTAATGTTTGACACTACAATTCAAATTTTTCTAAATTCACCATCTTCTTCCTATACTCCACGTCAACGAGCTTTGATGCAAGAGCGTCAAACTCGTCCTTGGTGTTCACTGGTTCTGTAAATGGCTCCCTCAGGTCTTACACATCAACGGCCACTCCTGATTTGGACAAAAGCAGTTGTTGTACCAACTGCGTCAGCTGCTGCTGCCCTTCTTCCAGCCTCTCCAGTCGACACTTGTTGTATGTGAGCGTATTAATGTTCTTCTTGTCCCGTTATGTCTTTGAATCGTCTTTCAAATTTCTCTCTGTTGATGTCTTTGAGGGTGTAATGTCTATTGAAGGTGAGCCGACGATGCAGTTGGCCCTTATTACTGAATGTTTCCTGCCATGTTTTCTCGATAATCTCCATGCAGTGGTTGTTGATCACTGTGGGGAGTGAGAGGGGCCCAAACAGTGATAGTCTTCTTGATTCATATTCGGGTGCCCCAGGCAGCACCCTTTCCGTCGGTGATTGTCCCCACTCATCCTCGTTGTCGCTGCTATCTGTAAGTTGCTTACTTCTAAGAGTAGAGTAGCTAACTTCGCATCGGTGTCACTGGAGTGACGGCTATTACTCTCGTAGTCACTAGTCTCCTGCTTTCTTTTGCAGTGGACCAGATCGGGCCCTTTCAGACCCACCGCCCTCTTCCGAGCTTCAGTTTTCTTTCTGGGACTTTGACTCGAGCTCCCAGCTTCTTCCCCTCTTTGTTTCTTTGTGGTGTCCTCCTCTCTGGGAGCTCTTTTCACTTTTCCGACAGTATCGGTGCATACTGCCTCCTTGGTGATGGAGCCATGGATTGCCTCTGCTTCACTTACATGTTCCTGGTGATTGTCTCTATAGTGGCTGCTCAGGTTCACCTCTTGGGATAGGTGTTCAAGCACCTTGTGCAATGGAACTCCAAGCCAGAACCGTGCCTTTCTCTTTGATGCCTCTGGAGCGATTTCGTTGACGGATACGTCCTTGAACATTTCAGGCACTGTACGGACTTAATATTGTAGTAATAGGTTTGGGAGGTATGACTTTTCCTGGGATATGCAACCCTTTCATATTGGCTCTGTCTTAAGGTTACCTGCTCCCATACTTCCAGTGTCCATTCCCTATCTCCACGTTTCATATAATCTTTGTCCTGGATCATGATCTAGTACGTTTTCCGTTGTTGATGTCCATAGCCCTGTGGCCCTGACCTCCCCCTGGCCAGCTGGGAAGCCCCTTTCCCGTTTTCCGACCTCTTCCAGTGTCCTTCCTGACCACAATAAAAGTAAACTGAGGGTGACCCTTGCTGTCGTCCTCGTCCAGGTCCACCAGCTTGGAGTGGTTCCCTCCTTTCTGCCACCACTTCTCTCATCAGCTTCCCTAACTCCTTGGCCCATTCAGGGGTTGGCAGCGTCCTCCCCTCATAGGTGTTCTCGTTTGACCTAACTTCCTGAATTTTCCTTGTGAATTTGGCTGCTGGCTTCCTGATACCTTGTCGCTGCCTCTCCGCCGTAATGTATGCTTCTGTCTCGATTGCTGCCCTGATGGCCTCATTTAAGTTCTTTAAGTATCATTGACATGGTACTATGAAAGAAGGATGAACAACAATAAGTATACATTACAAGTACAACATTTGTCTTGTAGTCAAGTGGGAGCATCTCCTTAATTGAATTGTGCATTAATCTGTGTGAATCTATACGTAATTACTAGAAAAGTGGAGTATTTTGAAAAGAGAAAGCAAACTCAATTCCAACATTACCAGAGTGTAACAAACATGTTTTATGGATGGATCTGAGCCAGCCTTTAAAAAAAAAATACATTGTTTTGGTTTGGTTTGGTTATATTTTCCGTATAAAAATTCAAATATATACAAGAGTACAATTTACAGATATAATACATATCGAGAATTAAAAAACTACTGGAATGCTCTATTCTGGGTCATTATCAAAATGGCTCTGTTCTTTCTAGAGGTCCAGAAATAGATAATTAAACATAGAAATAAAACACAAAATATTGTAAAGCATTTTTTTCAAATATTGACCCTGACTTTGAAGGTTTTGTGTATTCTAGGAAAAAATCATTTTCCATAGGTTTGTACACAAACCACAAAATTTAGCGATTTAGGGGCCGATGATCACTTGAGAAAGGTCACATGACTTAAGAACAGTATATCTGTTAGTCGCAAATTTGGTCTCATAAGTTGCGCAAGGCTTCAATGAAAAATGAAGTGGAGCAGCATTATCTATGTGCGTTGCAAAATTAACGTGCGAAAAGTCGAGGGGGATTGACCCTCCTCCCAGTTAAGATAGGTTCAATGGATGATCAAATAATGTTTGACACTACAATTCAAATTTTTCTAAACCATCTTCTTCCTATTCTTCCCTGTGGCCCTGACCTCCCCCTGGCCAGCTGGGAAGCCCCTTTCCCATTTTCCGACCTCTTCCAGTGTCCTTCCTGACCACAATAAAAGCAAACTGAGGGTGACCCTTGCTGTCGTCCTCGTCCAGGTCCACCAGCTTGGAGTGGTTCCCTCCTTTCTGCCACCAGTTCTCTCATCAGCTTCCCTAACTCCTTGGCCCATTCAGGGGTTGGCAGCGTCCTCCCCTCATAGGTGTTCTCGTTTGACCTAACTTCCTGAATTTTCCTTGTGAATTTGGCTGCTGGCTTCCTGATACCTTGTCGCTGCCTCTCCGCCGTAATGTATGCTTCTGTCTCGATTGCTGCCCTGATGGCCTCATTTAAGTTCTTAGGATGAGCGAGAAAGATCCCTGCCCTAATCTCCGGGTCTGAGATTGCGTCAGAAAAATGTCCTTATGCTAGTCTTTCATGCACATCTCGTTTCAGCTCCGGGTATGCCAATGAGGTAAGGCGCCGCACTGCTTGTTCCAATTCTTACAAGTTTTCTCCTGATTTCCTTGTCCGGGCCCTCAGCTCTGTCAGAAAAATTTCCGCCTCTTTCCCTGGTCCGAACCTCTGTTCTAGTCTCTGGCAGAGTGAACTGTAGTTCTGCAGGGCATGTGGTTCTAAGTCTGTCGAGATTTCCTGAGCCGGGCCACGTAAGCTTGCCGCCCAAAACTGAGCTTTCTGTCTCGAATCCCAGACATTGATAAGTGCACATGATTCAAAATGTGCCCGGTAGTCTCTCCACGGGTTACTCCCATCGAACCGATCTGGTTGGAAAAAAATTGTTGATTTTCACATCCAGCAATTAGTAGTTAGTCCAGGGACAGCTTGAGGGAGATGGGAGGACACAAGTAGGGGAGACCAAGTTGGGGTGGAACCAAGTGACGAAACATTCATGCAAACTACTTTTATACCTCATTCATACTTGGCTTTTCCTCCGATCATCTTATTGGTCATTACTTTAAAAGGGGGAAGGGGTCTAATCTAAGACTTTACTGTTATTGGTTCAAGGTCACCACTCATGACAGAATAGTCACAAAGCATGAATGAACACAAAGGGCATGTCTTATATCTAAATCCCCTTTCATAGAGCTGTATCACCATTAAGTATGCTAGTGGATTACAGATTTATGAATGGCATTAAAGTCTAGTACTAGTAGCTAGTATTGTATCGAATGGGATGGATTAAGACTGTGAATGGCAATAGGGTCATAAAGGCTATACCCCAGTGTGGGAACGGGCTAGCTTTAATTTATGGAGACATGCCAGCACATCTTATAAATACATCTATAATCAATAAAGACAAAGAAAGCTACAGCCAAAAGAGACAGAGAGAGAGAGAGAGAGAGAGAGAGAGAGAATACAAGAAGAAGAGAGAAGGATAACAGGTACATGACTAATATCCCACCATGTTATAGCCAAAACAAGTTTCCTTCGAGTTCCGCTTGCATAGTGAATTGTCTTGTGATTCATTTCCAATTGTAGGTGACTCATAAAGATTAGTTACTGTTTCTTTGAGGTCCTTTCCTTGTCTTCACTATCTTTAGCTCCAATACTGGCGGGGCATCTGTAATGAGAGGCACCTCCTTATAACACATTGTCACAATGATTATGTTTTTCAATACGTCCATAAATTCAGTCCATGTTCGTGATTTAAGAAGTCCATCTACTGATGTACAATGTCTTTCTGTACCCTCTTAGGAACATGTTTTAATAC